AATATCTTCAATGATAGCAAAGCGTCATAACAGGCACAATAAAACTATGGCTGCTGTGGTAGGAGAAATAGGGTTAGGGTGAATGGGAAGAAGGGGGAAATCACAGAAAAATAATTTTAATGAGCCATAAATCACAGCAAATTTATACACATGGCAAATGTAACAAACGATTTATCAATATCATAGATTTCTGTAAGCACTTAATTACTGAACTTTATGAATCTTTAATTTAAATCAGAATCATTCCAAGAGTAAATCTTATCTCCTTGTTTCACTTTTTTTAAATGAAGAAGATCACTATTGCAATTACGTTTAACTAGATTTTGTTTTTTTGAAGCGCACTTCAGCTGGGTGCATCTCCTTTATTTTTTCCTAGGGCTGGAAATAACTACCACTTTGCATGACTGTGTAAGAACCAATGTCTTGTATATGTGCGGCTTTCAGGATGGGAAGTGAATTGTCTCAAAGGTTAAAGCAAAACATTAATTTTCACTTAGAGCTGGATCTGGCAAAGTATCAGACACTGGTCTCTCTTTAGTAAAGCACTTAAGCTTTTGCTTAAATTTAAGCATGTTATCCCATTGAGTCAACAACTTGATTTAATACTCAATAAAATATAATGCTTCCTACCTAAGGGGCCTTTATTCACCTTTTGTTGATAAAAATGGCCTTTGTTTAGTCTGGGAAATGATTACGAATCGTAGCCATCTGAAATGTGGATTCCTTCACGGAAAGCCAGCCCTGGCCTAGGGGAGCCTGTGACCCAGCAGGACCTCTGTGGGGCCAGCGGCGGTTCCGCTCATCGTAGGGTTGTGGTGGTGAGCTGGCACTGGGCCCTGTTCAAAACCCGGTTATGAACAGGTTGCCTGTTCAACACAAGTGTTGCCTGAAATTAGTGGGTGTGATAATGGTTGAGGCCATTTTAATCACCGGGTTTTGCTCAGTAGCGTTGGGACAGCTGCAGTTGGATTTCCAGCCTTTGTTTCTTCTCAACCAGAACCGTGGGGACTTTTGTTTGTGTCCTGGGATAAATTGCCCATGTATGTTTCCAGTTGATGGTGCGTTAATGTGACGGTTCTATCACCTGATGCATGAACTAGCAGAAATTGCAAAAACCACATCTCCCAAGAGATGACATTATTAAAAATCCACCCCAGACTTTTCACAATTTACTTTCTTGCCTAACCTACAGTTAAAAAAAAAAAATAAAAAATCCCGGTTTTAATGGATGCAGTTACTACTGGATTCTGTTGCAGCTAAAACAGACACAGAATTTTTGAATCTGAGTAAATTCTCAAACCCTGAGAGCTACTCTTCCATTAAATCCAAAGAGAGTTAATAGTACCTAAGGATCATTACAAGTACAGCGTGAAGCTAGCATCTTCTCTTCTTCCCCGTTAATCACAGGAATATTTCCAGACAGCTTCAAATAAAATATATTTTTTAAATGATTGCTGTTTTGCTCTTAATGAACTACAATGACATTGTACAGCTACAATGATCCAAATATTCTTACAAATTTGTAAGTACTTGGATGAAAGAAGGGTTGTATTGCAGTTCATTCGAGAATATGTTCTTCAGATACACTGGTTGAGGGGTATTTTTAGTTACGAATAATTTTGGCATAAGGCAAACCAGAAGGAATTTTAAGGTAATTCTTGTAATGACAACAGCAGTGGGAAGAGCAGGTGCTGCGCAGCCGTGCCTAGTTACCAGTTATTTAAATTACGAGTTCCAGAATAGGGAGAAGGTTGCAATGTCACATGCACATTCTACAATGTGTGTATATTCACTTAACTGCACTAAGTGTGTGTGTATATTCACTTACTGCATTATTTTCCTTGTTCATGCAAACTGTATTCACTTCGCTTCATCCAAGCTTTTATACTTGTAAAAACCCCACAAATTCTGTAGCATTGCCTGATCGTATAATGTTAATAGACATTTTGTCCTTTTGGCTTGTGCTTCTGTAAGAGGTGTAACTAATTACTGAAATACTCATCCTTGAATTAAGCAGCAGGACATCTCTGGTGGCACAGCCTTTCACTCACGCAGAGCTGTGACAGCACCGGTGTGGGGAGAGGTGGCCCCGCACATGCCGAGGGTACGGTGGAGGACGGCAGCAGCCCAACCAGCCGCCAGCGCTCCCTCCTCTCGGGAACAGCCCGGTCCTCCTCCAAATGGGAGAGGAGGGTGCAAGGGCAGAGGGGTGGCCTGGGGAAAGTGGGATGGGCTGTGGCGTAGCAGCTAAGAAACGAGGGGGGGGGGAAAAAGACCTGACCGACTTCTAGCACTGGCGCTCTGGGAGATCTTAGGATATTTTACTTCATATCATAGTAGAGATAAAAATGTTGAGGAGCTAAAATTATACTACATGGAACAAAAGACACTGTATCCTCTGTGTAAACACAACTACTTCTAGTGCTCATTTCCCATTCCCTATCAGAAACCACGTTCATTTCTTTTTCGTTCAGTTTTATTTACCAGCTGCTCCTGTTGGGACTCTCCATTTCCTTAAGCAATGAGTTGCTGTTAATTTCCAAGAGTTTTTCCCAGCCAGTCTGAAATAGGATGGTACGTTCCGTATATAATGGTTGATTCATTTTTCTGCTAGCAGAATTTTAAAGTACTCCTCTTCAATACACCATTCCAGTCCCTATAATTACATTTTCTGTAAGACACTGGAAAATGATCTGCGGAATCAATACCAAACAGCTCTATACAAGACAGAAATAATGGGGGCGAGGGACTCCAAACACGGTAAAACTTGCTTTAACTTTTGAGGGTTCATTCACTTGGGTATAAAAGGATACAAGTGTGATGATAACATTGCACAAGATAGTCTGGTTAGCTAAAGCGTAAGTAGAGTTTAATTAAACTGTAAATTCCAGTATTTAATATTGCTGTGTCCAACTACTTTTCATCTTCATTTACTCTATAAACATTTAATAGGGAAGAACATTCCTTATCAATTTTAATTGAAAGACTTATTGGGAACTGTTGGGCTAAAAATAGCCAACAATCCAACACATTGCAACATTGAAAGTTTATGCAAGGTGATCCAAGGCTGGTAATAAATCAGGTGGCAAAAAATTAAGAAAGGGATATGCCTCCATGACATTTCTGTCTTGTCAATAAATTTCTAAAAGCAATTGAAGTTTTTAATGGAAGAATGAGATTTGGTTTTATTTAGTCTGAACTTCAAGTGCTTTGAAGCTGATGTGCAGCACACATGGCCATTTGTAGCTTATCAATCACTACCATTTATCATTTACTGTTTACTGGGAGATTCTATTAAATTTATACACAAAATTCCAAAAATGTTCCTTTAACTTGTTCGAAAAAAAAAATATGTAAAGCACTAGGGAAAAAAATCATGATACTGGATCTTCCTACATTTTGTTAAAACCATTGAATGAACCACAGGCAACACCCATCCCTCACAGGCAATCACTTAATTAAATTTTGACAGCTGATACAAATAATCTCACAACTTTAAAAAGGACAACATAATCAGCTTCGTAGCCTTGAAGAGAAAAAAAAAACAACTTCAGTTTGCTTATTTTATTGAATGTGGTAGCTGTAGCACGTTAGGTGGAAGAGGTGCTGGAATATTGTGTTGCTTAAGGTCTTCCATAATGCATCAGAAGAAAAATCTTAACACAGCCTTGCCGACCAGCCACTCTATCTTCTGGTGCTCGTTTGTGGTCTGAAAGCAGCAACAAGCCATACACTCGTTATTTGTATAGAAACGGCTTTTATATTTTACTCCGTTTTACCTAAGATTAAACCTCCATCCCTGGAGAGATGATGGAGCAGCTCATCCTGGAAACCATTTCCAGGCACTTTAAGGATGAGAACATTTATTTGCACCACTCAAAGCCAGTTTCTCATATCTGCTGTCTCAGCTAAAAAGCACTCTTGGGTCACACTGAGATTGATCTCTCACCAACCCAAAGTGCTCTGTAAAGCACCTGGCGATGCCCAAGTTTTACAGAAAATGAAGCAGCCAACAGCCCAGCACCTTCAAGCTCACCCAAGCCAGTCGCTTCTGCTGTTCCCAGGGACATACAGGACACTTTCCTATATTTTGGATGCTAGCGTGAATGTCTGTCTTGGGGACCTGCTGGAGGCACAGGCTGTCCCAAGCTTCTGTAAACTGGTTGCAACCCTATGTTTGGGGTTGTAGTGCATGTACGCACTGTGGTCACTGGAAAAAGGTGGCGAGGGGGCTGGGCATGAAGCCACTACAGCTTTCATTCTCCCTGGGGCCCCCCTGGGATAGAAGTTTCCCCCACTCTTCTCTTGATGGTTGTGCATCTTACCCCAGGAATCTTGATGGAGTTGGGCACACTAGCATCTAGCCTGTTGTTCAGGATCTGCTACCTGTCAGCAAGGTGGCCAGAGGCACTTTTTAACCTCTGCGTTGCTGATTGAACCACCCAAACCCTTTTCTGTCCGGGCGGCCCAGGACAGGCAGCATCGTCCGCAGTACCTGGGCTCGCCGGTGACCCTGGGGAAAGAGGAGTCTCCTCCCCAAGCCTGTCAAGCCCCGAGGTTCAGAGTTCAGTGTCTAAACCTGGAGAATGATGATGGTATCAATAAATCCGTGTTGGTGGTCTGCAAGAGCCTGCGTGATAACCATAAGCGTTATTACACTGTCAACAGTCGCAGGTAATCTGGGGAGTGGAGAACACCAGATGAGACCACTTGGTACTGTCAACGGTTTTTCCTGTAGCTGGCAAAATCAAGGAGGCAGGTAGAGTTGTTGACGGCACTGTGGACTGAACATTCCTGTGCCCACTGCAGACTTCCCCACAGTTAAAGGTACTTGGCCACTGACCAGCAGCAGTCAAGGACAGCAAAATTCCACATACAAGGACCCTGTAAAGACTTTGAATGTGAGTCTCTGCCACAGACTGTTTTTGGCACATTACCAGCCATCCCAGACTCCAAGCACTCTTACAAGCTCATCTCCCAGGCTAAAAATATCTTGCCAGCTACAGGGAATCCGTCTTGGCCGCATTTCCTGCCAGGATCTCATTTTCTGCAGTGGTATGCATCTCACAAGGGTACAAGGAGCTGATCATCTGAGCCATGCCCTTGTACAACAGCACCACAACCACCTTACGCAGGGGCTGGAAGGCCTTGTTGATGCTCTGACATCGCTCTGCATGGCCCGAGGTGGGAACAACTCCAGTTACGTGGTCTGAAGAGCAGAAGCACCAAATATCCTGGTCTGGGAAAGTAAGCATTGAGGAGAAGGAAGAACCTCCACATTGTCATCCTGACATCGTGATTATTGAAACAGTTGCTGCCATCTTCCTCAGACAACATCGTGAGAGCACAAGACCTGCTAGCGAGGTTTGCACTACCAAGAAGCAAATCTCAAGATGGCTTTAATGGCAGAACACAGTCACTGCCTATCTGAGATGGAGTCGCTCCAAACCAGAGAACATTTAACACTGAAATGACTCCTCTCAGCAGCCTATACTGGGACTGGGCTCTGCAAATTTTTTCAGGGCAATTGATTGCTTTAATTAATATGAAGAAGTTCACACTGCAAACACTGCAACAGGATATTGTATATAACAAAAACATATGAGATCCTTTTATGTTATAATGTTGAAATCAAAATGTATTTCTTACCCAAATTTTCCTGAAGATTTTTTTCCAGTAGATACACCCAAAGATTTTCTGGTTTTCTGCAGTATTCCTGGAGAGGTCTCTGCAGATCATTATTTAAAAAATTTATTTGCCATAAAAAATCATAACCTACATAGATTCAACATAAACCCCAGAAATGTAGAGATCGAAGACATTGATACAAAGAGCAGCAAGTATTATCATTCACAGGCTGTACTACAAATAACCATTAAAATAACTCTATAAAACAGCTTCTAAACACAGACTGAGTATGGCTCATGATTACCAGTAGCAATGGGTGCTAGCAAACATATTATATGGAATCCTGCTTGGAGGGAACTGTTTTAGGGATGTGGTCGTGTTAATTTTAAGGCTGAATCAACAGGGAGAAAGTCAAACAAGATACAAAGCTTGATGCTTCATCTAAATGAGCTTAAGAAAAGATAAAGAAGATGGAATAAATCTTAACATCGAAGATTAAAGGTTATGGAGTCCTTTATGGAACAGAAGGAACCTCACAGCCAGACTGCCTATTTTAGGTCTATATAGACACTTCTTTTCAGGACCTCTAACTGAAAAAGCTGAGAAGCCCCTCTTGAGAACCCACATAAAAAATCTCTGTGAATACACTCAGCACAATGGATCAGGATAACGACTTGGAAAGCCATCCAATATCAGCAACATCCACTTTGAAATTTCTGACCCTTCTCATTTCTAACAAGTGTTGTATGGAAATGAGTGTAGGATTTCATGTCAAGGCCTGGACTTGCAAAAAGAAAAAAAAAAAAAATCAAACATGGCTAAATGAACTCCATACCTGGCCTAAGTTCGTCTGTATTGGCACCTTCTTGTTCTCTCTTCTGAAGGGGTAACACAGCAGTTGTTAAGGTTGGGGGTTTTCTCTGAGTCACTGGTTGCTTGCCCTAGTAAATGAAGGTGCACAACACACACTCAACTCCAGCAAGGAGCTTACGGAGCCTGGTGACAACTCTCCAAATCATTGTTGAAGCAATGAGAAGCAACAGAAAAAAGGTGCACCCCTTGGGGTGCACCCCCATTTGGAAGCCATTTTTCCTGCCCAAAATAGGTAAAAGATTTTCAAGTATCTTAAAAAAAAAAATTTAAAAAATCACTACTCTCCTAAACAAACGGTTTACTTTTTTTTTTTTTTCTACAATAGGAACTCACTTCAAGACACTACCAATTAGCTCCACTTTTCCAACTCCCCAGAGGGACTTAGCCCTTTTTTCTTGTGTCTAGGGACCAGGGGGTAAATCAGCTATATATTTGCAGGGAACAGCAAACCTGCCAACAGCAGGGAGCCCTAATGAACGGGAAGCGCTTTATGTCTTGCAAAAGCTGCCAAGTTGCTGCTTCCCAACAGCTGTTACCCTGGAATCCAGCTGCAGAAGAGCCTGAAGAAATTGTTGTCCAACTTTTTTGTACTATCGCATTTTGTCTCTTTTTATGTCAGACAAAGGGCTCCGGTTTCAGGGAACTCTTAGCTGATATTCGGCAAGTGTCTTGTCTGAAGAGTCTACCAACTTCCCTGGAATCTTAAGTTTTATATTGATATAGGTCTTTACTCACCATAAACTAGTTTGGCAAATCTGCCTCCAGGGTAAGACAAGTGCGACTGCGTTAGCTTACCAAAGTGTGTCTGGTGGTCTTTGCAGCAAAGGCACGGCAGGCAGCTTGTTCTTCGCAAAACTTTATGTGCCTCTGTGCTGCAGCCTCATTGAATCTTCTTGAGCAGTGTGGACACTGAATATAGTCTGAAAATAAGAAAGGAACAACTTGTGTCAGAGTTTACACACCACAAGAGAAGAATCGCCCTGCTTTACTGGAGCACTCAAGATGCAGTTCAAAACCTGGCTCCATCAGCAGGTGACCATGGTGAGTTCCCATCAGCTCCCAAAGTACAAACTCAGGGGAACTACAAAGCCCTCCTCTAGAAAAGCACTTGAGATCCCAAAACATATGCTTATGGTATTAACACAGCAAACAGTAATTGCTTTCAGAAATAAATCCCTGGGGATTAATAAAAGCAGATTGTTTTATCTTTGTCCCATTCCTACCCCCAACCTCACAATTAACATATCTGCGGAAAAAGTTATATTAGAAATTCCTCAAGTAGTCTAAACCAATGATTTTAAGACTACTTTTGAAGATTGGTCATTAAGATTGTTAGCTGTTTTCACAAAATCCATTTCCTTTAGACATTGACAAAACACTGTTTAAGCAGCTGTGCCCCTCCAGCTGAGGCACATCCCAGAGCCGGGTTTCTGGGTGTGAAGCAGCATGGTGAAGAACACGCAGCAGTGCTTCCTAAAGTTGTTTTTGACAGTGTTACAGTCCTGATTCTGCTAAAAGCTGTTCAGCTACCTTTGTCACTGGTACAGTCCTACATGTTTTCAATGAATGGCTGGTGTTCGGGGTCAGTGCAGTCACATTCAGCCCTCTCACTGCCCTTGCTGTCCTCAGACCCTTCCTCCCCGCCCTGTGCCTTTTACAAAAGCAGCCCAAGTGTCCTTGTTGTAATATTACAGATATAGCATCTTTACAAATCATTTCTCCCAGTAACACCCCAGAAAAGGCAGCCCAAGCAGCCACCAAAAGCCAGCCCCAGACCAGCAGCGTGGGCAAAATGGTTCTGAAGACAAGAGGGGAGGACAAGACTGGGCAGATCCCTGGCTTTTGGGGGGGTGGCAGGGGGACCTGGCACTTCAGGGGAGAACGGGGAGCTTTGGGCTCTATTTGGAGAAGGAAGAGAGGGAAGGGGAGTATCTCTCACACCTCCTCACAATCCATGTGCTTTCTCTCCAGTCCTGTGGTATAGGATATACAGTCCTATAGTGTAGGATATACAGTCCTGTAGTACAGGATATACATCCTCACTAGGCCCCTCAGCAATGTCTTTCCTAAAAAGCAGTTCTCCAGTTCCTTTCTCCACAACTAGCGCTGTTCTTGCACAACTTGGTTTCCTCCAAGAGGGAGAAGGAAAGGGAGGGGTCTGCTCTTAGAGTTGGTAGAGTCAGACAAGAAATAACAGAGTCATTAAAGAATTCAGCAGTGGAAATTCAGAGAGGAGCTTGACCCCAATCAAGGAAGGAAGATGCGTCCTGCTGCTTATACTGCATTGCTGTCATCTAGAAGAGGAGAATGGCTGGAATCACGGCAGCTGTTTTTCCTATCTGTCACAATTCCTGCTCTGGAAGTGAGCCCAGAGAGCCCCCCCTCCCTTCCCCCTTACTCCCTCCCTCCCTCCCTCCGCCTTCCTAACGCAGGCAGGACTCCACTGAGACCCTTTCCAAGATTGCTCCCACATTTCATAAATCACATACCATAAGAAATACTGGCTGTATGTGCATCTTTTTGGATCTGTAACTTCTAACACAGCGAGCTCTGTGCAGAGACCACACCTGGTACTAGCAGTAAACCAGACCCATCATTTTCTGACCGACTTCCCCTAACTACACGGGAGAAGGGGGCAGATGGGAGTGGGGAAGCCTATGTGCACTACAGTTGTTTGGTGAGGGGAAGTATTTCACCCTGTGTTACGCTGTGGTACAGCCTGTGCTAGAACACAGGCACCCTAACTCTCCTCCCAAAGTGCTGTTTAATATCAGACCCCAAACTTGATGCCTTTAAACTTAAAAGGTACAGTTTTAGTTTTCTCTTCCGCCCCACCACCTCTACATTGCACTCCTACTCAATTTAAGCCAAGAAATACAGCTGAAAACTAGAGAGTACGGAGGGAATTAAAGTTCATGTTGTGTTGTGCCGGGGGGTGTAAAACTGAAGCCCATCTGTGGCTAATAAGAGTTCAGTGCTTTATCAAAGATCAGTACAAGATCAGTAATAAGATAAAGTAGACCACAAACCTGGATTGATGCTTGGTGGGGGAGGAGGCGGAAGAGGTTGGCCTTCCTTCAGAGCTTTTGTGAACTGCTTTGCTGATTTAATAGTATTAATAAAATCCTCATGGTACTGCCTCCAGTTAGATTTCTTCCCTGGCTGAGTCTGTAATGGAAATAAAAGAAGACACAAACTGTATCCCTTGCAAGGGACAGAGAAAAATCTTAGAGTGAGGGTTCTTCCTTTCCTAGGGAAAGGAAAAACATTACGAGCAAAAGAAATTTGCTTTTTTTGAAAGGCATAGGAAAGCTGATTTAGTCCTTTGTCATCTATTGACAGCACCAGGAGATGAATAAAGAACAATGCCCTCCAACAAAACACCCTGGTTGTGGCAGACCAAAGAGTGCTTAAGAGGGAATAGAAACGGTACTATGACGAACACCTTCCCTTTTCCTCCACTTGCCAGAGTGCTTTAAACCTTTCTTGCTTTAAACCTTCATGCACTTCTGTTTCTTTCCACAACTGATTTTAAAGGACATTTTACAACAGCAGCCTGCATGGATACCAAATCAGTAGTGATTTAGCATCTCTGGGTAAAATTGTATGCATGCATGTCTGTATGTATTCCCCTCCTCCCCAACAATGTTTGATAAAACCCTTGTTCCAGTAAGAGCTTAAGCCTCTTCCCCTCCAGCTGTCTTAATAAGTTCAATTTAAATACATTTTTAAACCCTTGAGTTGAATAGCAGTGAAATCTCTGTAGGTTCATCCGTGGAAGATTTGGGGCTACTGACAGCTCTCAGATTCAACCTGGGTTATTCATGCACCAACCACCTTTGCTCTCTTTCAGATTTAAGGGACGAGGAAGCTGCCAGAGACTCACATAGTCTTTAAAATACATAAACATTTCCTAGAAGAGCAGAGACACTTCTGTGCCCAGAGTAGTCACGACACCTACTGGTTTGGCTTCTGAGCGGAGAAATGTTCACAAACACTAGCGGCACAGGGAAGGGGAGGAAAGAATTTGGCAGTGAGTCAAGCACATATGTGAGACTCATCCACAGCATCCAGGCTTTGTCCCCGGAGGAAACAATAGCGTTACTGAATGAAAGAATTCATATGGAGATAACACACACACTTCAATTTTAACTATACCTTTTGTGGGGGCTGCTTCTTCACAGTGGTGATTTCTGTTCCCTGCAGTCTCTGTTTCAAAGAGTTGAAGGGCTTGCGCTTCTTGTTGAAGACTTTCTTGCATATTGGATCATGTCTCAGCTGGGATGCGAAGAAAACCAGTCGTTTGTGGGTTGAAGTCACGCTTTGTTAATGATGCTTCCTTACTCAGGCTTTAAAATTACTTCTATTCAGGAACAGGGAGCTGAAGCAGTATTTATTTTGGGTTCGGTTTAACTCCTGAAGGAGTTCAGCAAAACCTTAAAAAGCTGTCCAAGTACAGCTGCAGTTTGACACAAATAAGAAACAGAAGCCATTTCCAGTTTGTTCTGCTCAGGGACACGCTGGAGGCCAGCACGAATAATGACTTGCAGAGAAGAACAGACTGGGTCGATGAACAGGCACGGTCCCGTTGGACTCCCCACACACACACTTGGTTTTCTGTCTCTCTTGGTTAAGAGGGAGGACAGGCTGATCCTATTAAAGGGGCTGATATTTACATTATTAGTTCTTTGAGTTTAGGTAAGTATTCCGGGCTGGGGGCTCCCCTGACAAACAGCAGCACTGCCCATCCCGTCAGCACGGCCGGAACAGCGGCAGCCCCAGGATGAGAGGGAGCAGCTGCTACCGGCACACATAACCTGGCAGCTCCGAAGGAAAGCTGGGGATAACGCCTGCAGCTGAAAGCACAGGGAAGTTGTACCTAGGTAGATATCCAGTGCCGGATTTGTGGAAGAGCCATGCCTCACAACATAGGAGGTTTCAAGGTTCAGAAGTGTCACAGATGTTAGCATCAACCTCACTCTTCTGCAACAGGATGGGCAATCCCCTTTGTGAGAACACTGTGAAAGTGAGGACCAAACTACATCCTCTCTCTTGTGCTGTGGCTCACACCTATTTGAGCCCATCTGTGGCTGGTAAACTAAAGACCCCATTCCTATCTTCCTTTGCTTAGTTCCCCTTTCCAGTTCTCAGTTATTCTTCTTGATCTTCTCATTAATTTCTCTATGCCGTCCGCTCTCTTCCCATAGGAGTTAAGCAGCCGCCTGAGCACGGCATTTTGGTTACAGCTCAGCTGGGCCAAAAAGCACCTCCTTCTGCTAAAACACACATTTCAAAATTCTTGTTTCCCTTTGAACCTTTCTACTCATGTGCTTCGGGTCCTTATCTTCTGTTTCTAGACATTTTTGACAGCAAACTTCAGAGGAGGATTCCTCTGCAGGACCAAGAGGGCAGCAGATACCTGTGTCTTGCTCACCGAGGAGCACACCAGTCCTGCTTCATCGGGGAATGGACAGGTGTTACAGGACTTGTCACTATGACTAGCATGAGATACAAGAAACTTCCCGCCTCCCCCGAAACATAGATAATTGTCTTTTCAAACAACTTTCCTAGATTAAACCGTCATGTTCTTCATGTATCTGATCTAACAAATGTGGAACTACTAACACAGGGTAGTGCCGTCTTCATCTCAGTGCTCACAGTTACTCAGCTTCCAGTGTATTTTTCTTGTCTATATAGATTTTTTTTTTTTTTTTCAAAATCAGTTTTCAGTTCTGTCGCAGGGTTGATCTGATCTACCACAGAGCCACAGGATCAGCAATGCAAACTGAGGAGGGGACGGGTGTGGGCAGAGCCCCCCCCCTCCCCTTGCAGGAACCCCCCCACAGTTGGGCTGTGTCAGGCAAACTGTGCAGCCACCCATTTAGTTTGTAATCTGGGGATCAGGGAGGTCAGGGGGAATCTTTTCATTCACTTCAGCAGGCTTTGGAACAGAGCCTGGTGCCCGCATTATGCTGTCAAAGGAACTACTTATCAGATGGTTTATTAGTCTATTTTTCCCAGGAAGCCTGAAATAACAATTTCTGCCTAGAAACCTGGAACACAAAGGAAGCTTCAGGTCAGTGATTTATGTCTCACCAAGAGATAATACATCATTTTAAACATAATATATAGTAAACATCTGCTGTTGGACAAGCAGGTAAATTAAGATAGTGCAAGATTGCAGATTAAGTCACAATTATTTCTGTGCACATTCATTAATTCTTTAATAAAGTTCACTAATGAAAGCAGTTATTAGTTCATTTGGTCTTTTAAACATATGTTCAACTCATTTCTCTACTAGCAGCCACCTCCTCCTTCCCCAGTGCTCACCACCCCTTTCAGCTAAACACATTGATATTCCCATTAAAAAAAAAAAAAAAAAAAAAGTTTTGTTTTACCAGAACATCTTGTGCAAAACATCTTCCACAGGTTATACAAGGAACCAGATCTTGACTTCGGGCAGCTGTGTAAAATTCAAACCATGCAAGAGCCTCAGTTACACAGTACAGGACGGCTTGACTGAGCAGAGTCAGCGTTTGGACTGAGCCCTTGCTGAAACAGTATTTGTTGTCAGAAAGGGACATTTCCAGTCATGAGCCAGGGCTCCCTTTTGCAGAACTACCTTATTTATCTTGTTCCTATGAAGCACAAGCTCTCCTTTACTAGGACGGAGAGCTTTTTGTTTTCCACATGACTTCTCAGGTACGTCCTAACACAGTGACATCACGGTTGGGCGAGGAGATGATGAAAGAGTACTCACGTTCATCAGTGCCTAAAATTCAGGGAGGGGGGCTGGGAAGCAAGAGCAGGCAATCTGCACCTGGATTCATCCCATTTTGTTTGTAGGTCGTCAGGAGCTAGTGATGCCCAGTAATGGCTCAGCGAAACCATCGCAATTCCAGGAAGTCGCAGGCGGCACACTAGGTGTGACACAATCTTCATTGTTAAGACAGAACGTTTCCATGATGTGCTAAATAGCATTCCAAGGTGATCTTACTTTGTAGGTGTCAAATTTGTGGGGATTTTTTTGTTTTTAAATCAGTAATTGTTTGACAAAAATAGTTTTTTAACTTACATGGAAAGTAATTTTAAGCCTTTCTTACTCCAATAGCAGTCACATATTCTCATTTCAGAACAGGGATATTTCTTGTATTAAACAAAAACAGCTTTTAGGAAAACTTGAAGAATAACAAAGAACCCTTTTCACGAGACTTGTAACCTACAGAGGGAAAAAAACTTCTCATTTACGTGTTCCTTACCTGCTCTTGCTGAAACAAAGGAAATCCTTGTCCTGCTGAGCAGAAGCAGATGTGTGACTGCTTTTGTTTCTCACATTTTCCTTCAGATTTTAAAATATTTGAAGGCACAGAGTTAAGGTTACTACAGTGTTTCATTGATTTCAAGTGGAGAGGAACAAGGCTCTTCGTTGACTCTTATTCTATTGCCTCTGTTTAAATGTCTCTCCACTTTTGTTCCCCAGCAACATCTTTCTGTGTGTCTGTGCTTAGTCTGGACTATACTCTTCTTCCTTTCAAATGTCTTCCTCTGCCTCCCTCATCTCTTTTATTCTGTTCTCATCCCCTCAAGATTTTGACTGATACAGTTTGGGTTTTTTTTCCAAAAGGAATTTACTTTGACTGAGACAGCTTCCCCCCCCCCCCCCCCCCAAAGATATTCCTAAAAACTGGATCTTGACCTGTGTTTTATGACAAAACTGGCTTTCAGAAGGATTTGGATTATTTTCTTTCTCAAAAACTTCTGCTGTGTTGCCCCATACAATGACATCATCAATGTATTGCAGGTGTTCTGGAGCTTCACCTTCTTCCAGTGCAGTCTGGATCAGTCCATGGGGGTGTGTTTCCACCCCCGGGACATCCCTCCAAGTGAAAGCAAACTGTGGCCTGCAGTCTGCTGCCCAAGGGTTTGCACCTTCAGCAAGTTTGCCAATGACACCAAGCTGTGTGGTGTGGTCGACACGCTGGAGGGAAGGGATGCCATCCAGAGGGACCTTGACAGGCTGGAGAGGTGGGCCTGTGCAAACCGCATGAAGTTCAACAAGGCCGAGTGCAAGGTCCTGCACATGGGTCGGCGTGATCCCAAGCACGACTACAGGGTGGGCACAGAATGGATTGAGAGCAGCCCTGAGGAGAAGAACTTGGGGATGTCGGTGAACGAGAAGCTCAACATGAGCCAGCAGTGTGCACGCACAGCCCAGAGAGACAACCGTGTCCTGGGCTGCACCAAAAGAGGTGTGACCAGCAGGTAGGAGGAGGCGATTCTGCCCCTCTACTTGGCTCTTGTGAGACCCCACTGGAGTACTGTGTCCAGCTCTGGGGTCCCCAATATAAGGACATGGAGCTGTTGGAATGAGTCCAGAGGAGGGCCACAAAGCTGATCAGAGGGCTGGAGCACCTCTCCTATGAGGACAGGCTGAGAGAGTTGGGGCTGTTCAGCCTGGAGAAGAGAAGGCCCTGGGGAGACCTTCGAGCAGCCTTCCAGTACTTGGAAGGGCCTACAGGAAAGCTGGAGAGGGACTGTTTACAAGGACATGGAGTGATAGAACAAGGGGTGATGGCTTTAAGCTGAAGAAAGGTAGAAGCTTTAAGCTGAAGTAGATGGTCTTTGAGGTCCTTTCCAACCCAAACCATTCTACGACTCTACGAATTTAGGCACAAGCACAGTATCACTGAACCAGCAATGAGAAGTCAGGAAAAGGGACAATTTGCCACAGCAGATTAGTTACTTTAGACATGTGCAACAGCAGATGAATTAAGGACTAGTGAAGAACACATGTGCTGTCTTTAGTAAATCTTCCACTGCATCTGTTACTCACTTGTTCCATTTAACTCCTTTCCTGGTATCTGACTCATCTCAATATAATGGTGTCTCCAATTTCCTCTTCTGTGTTGTCGTCATGAGGACTAGGTCTTCACTACTCAAAACCTCACCATTCAAGTTACCATGCATCAGCAATTACATAATTAACAATTATGACACAGGCAAACCCTGCTTAAGCCTGTGAAACATGAAAACTAGTACAGGTATCAGCTAAATGGAAACCCCGAAACTTGTGCTGGTCTTAACCAAATCATCTTTTAAGACAGACTCTTGAACAATTTTAGAAAATGAAGGCTTAATCTAGATGTGAATACTGTATCGACACTTCAGTTTCCTCAGCAGTGATCAAGAGACTTGTAGACTTAAATGTGTCTATTCCCTTCTCCCAAAACCATGTTAATCAATTAAAATACATTGTAAAAGCCTTCTTCCAATAAAAATGAGTAGTTTGAATTGTTTCTGTACATTAAAAGGCCTCATCAGTCCATTAGCATTTCCAGACACAGGAAGAAATGAGCTTTAAAAAAAGTGTGTAAGACAAATCCAGATAATATAACATGTATTCACAAAACTATTTAAGGAGTATTTAAGATTCTGTGAATTTAGTAGGTGTCAAGTCACTCTACTGCTGTGTTGGTTACTGTGTTCCTTACCAGTAAGACGGTTAACTTTTAACCCACAGGCAGAAGATCGCTCAGTCCTAAAGACCTAAAGCTGAGGGTTTCTTATGAATACAGGAGGATTCAGAAAGATTGACTGCAAATCCTATCCATTTCATTCACACGTACGGACTGGTCGCTATCAGAGTAATTCACATGCACAGTGCAGAAGTCTAAGATCACACCGAGCCTAAAGATACTGGCCCTCTGCTCATCTTCAGAAAGTCTTTGCAACAATTGCTGTGGGTCATCAGTTTGTATTTCAATGAAACCGAAATGAATGCAAGACCTGAAGGACTTCAGGAAAAATCAAGATGACGGCTATCTGCAACACAGTTTTTCTAAGTATCTGCTGAGATACTCAGATATTCAAACCAAGTACTTTCAGCAAAGCTGATTTCAATGGCAACAGTAAGGGTCATTGACTACTGTAACACTTGTTGCAACAGATTTTATTTGCTAAGAAATTTAAAACTTGGGTTAGCTAACAGGGATGTCTACCTTCACAACAGCTTTTCAGACACCTCTGGTTACAAAAGGTTATTTTACATCTTTTGTAATAGTACCCAAACAATAAATAACCAACCCAGGAAAGAACTAAGGAGTGGATGAAAACTCCTTGACTTACAAAACTGTGCTATACCATAACCATCAGTATAAGGGAGAGAAGACATAAATGGATATATTGCTTTGTAAACTGAAATAACTTAACAGAGGAATCTAATCAGATTTGATCTGTAGGATGCTGCTGATTTGTTGAACACATTCGACGCATATCTATAAAACTTTGTCCAGTGATAGCTTGTAAGAAAAATATTTTTAATAATTTTAATACATCTCTACTGTAAAGAAACTTTGCAACAGTTGCCATGTCACACATGACAGACTAGACAACACTACTACATCATTTTATATATAACTTCATTTCAGAAAGAAGGACAAGTTACTGGTTCTTTTTACAGCAACATCTGAATTAGCCCCTTTGAGCATGACGGGCAAAGCAATTAGTTAGCAGTTCTTTTCAATACAAATGAAAACTGAAGGATGTTTCCGCAGTAAGTTCCTCAGTTTCATCAAGACAGCTTCAGTCCTTGAACGTTTTGTTTCCGATTGAGCAACTCTTTTTCTTGCCGCCTTTTCTCCAATTTGAAGGCTAGCTTGTTGGCTTTCTTCTCCATTCTGCGTTCCTGTGCATACGAACAATTACAAATTTACAAAATAGGCCTAGCATGCAAAAAGAAACCATTCTAATGAACAGGTCTAGATCATGAAAACAACAGCAATATGGACAAGACTACTATTTATGGCACTAACTATTAGTAGTCAAATTAATATGTGTACCACCAGGATTATCATCTTTAATTAGCTGAAGCTTCTAATATGCTGGCAATTTCTGTTCCTAAATAAAACACCTAGTGTATCATTGTGGCCTATTAGATTTTCCACGTTTCTTTCAGAGACTTTTCACTTTGTGTGATCTGGAATGTAACTGTTTTCTTTGCTTCCCCAGATAATAAGAAAATATGAGGGCTCCTTCCGAAGTTACATATGTAACAGTGGCCACAATAACAGACGAAAATTTCCATATAGGAAATTCGGATGACAAAATTATGAGGTTAGCTTTCTTTCCAGTAATTGTTTTTTAAAGAAGCCATAGTTAGTCCTTTGAGACCAGCAAGTTTTTCCCATTCATTTCCAGACACAGGAACAAACGAGCTTTAAAAAAAGTTCGTAAGACAAATTCAGATAATATAACATGTTTTTGCAGGGTTTTATTTAAAATAAGGCATACCTTTCGCTCCTCTTTTATTGCCTGTTTTCTAGCTTTGCGATCCTCTTTGCTCTCGTCTTTGGAACGGGGCTGTGTTGCTGCTCTTGGCAGGTCACTGCCATTAATCATTTGCATGCGCTCAATCTGCTTAGCGGTAAGACCTTTCTGAGGCAAGATATGTAGGGGAATTCCAGTCTTCTGGGAAATTTTTATAGGTTTGGGCTAAAACAGAGAGTGCATATGTATTAATGGTCCCTAGCTTTCTCTCCAAGAAGTGCACATCGCACTGCCTTATCAATATAAGAACACTTAAATAATGTGTTTATTATATTTAATAGCAAAAAACCACTTTTTATTACTATTCAGATTTAATAGTAATAATCTGATTCAGATTTAACAGTAATAAACACTTCAGTTTCCTCATAGTATTTTCTTCCCTCAGAAAAATACACATTAACCTCTAAGTAAGAAATGAAACACACCTGTGAACAGAATCTGGCCTCCCAGAAAAAGAAAAAGTTTCCTCTCTTTATTATTAAAAACAAAACAACAAAAAAAAAAGAACTTAAGTAGGCACTTAATATTCCTTTATAAGCTTTCAAGAAAAAGGTGTCCTTTCAAAATCTCACACATCTGGAACATCAAACTGTGCTGTAATGATGGGGAACGTCTTGAAGGCCAAAGAATTAGAAATTGTTTCAAACTACAGAAGGGAAATACAAACCTATTTTCAAGAAAAAAACCCTAGTATGTGGTTGCAAGATGCAGATTACACAAAGGTGTATCACAGATAGAAGAAACTAAGTTCCTTGCCCTCTACGTTTCTGCCTAGTTATTACAGAAATTTTGAACTTACTCAACTTTCCTTCTAATAGAAAAAAATATATCCAAACCCTTCTTCAGTGAAGTAGTAATACCAGAGGCTAACATCCTCCTCAATCCTCTTATCTGCTCCCTCCTCCTTTAAAAAACAGGTATCCATTGACAAAACAATTGCTTTCGTCTCAAATTTTCCCAAGCCAGGTTGTTACTCAGAATAAGCATAATGATTTTACCTTCGATGGCTCCTTAATAAGTGTTGGGTGATTATATAAGTTTGAATAGGTACCTAGTCACAAAGAAAAAAAAAATAGTGAAGAAAGGCAAGCAAATAGAAATTAGGTAAATTTATTGCGAATTGCACTACTATTTAGTCTTTGAAGATATAAAATTGCAAGAATTGTTATCCACACAAAAGCAGTAGTTTTTTCCAGCAAGA